GACGGGGTCCACTCGGGCCCTGTCTCCTGGATTGACCTGTTTCTTCACCTGAGGAAGGCCGCTTGTGTTGTGGCCGAAACGTCGTGAGAATTTTATTGTCTTATTTTATTTTATTATTTTATTTTCATTCTACCTGACTTTTACCGAAAGAACCAAAGAAGGAAAAAAAAGTGATTGGCTGGTTGCACATGCAAGCGCAAAACAGGCGCCAGGCTGACGGGAGATTGGGACGATAGCGGCAGAGGGGGCGGGGGTCGCCAGCTTAATTGATGAGAAATTAATAAGGAGGAGGATGTATACAGGAGTGTGAGGCCCAGTTGTTGAGTTGGTCGGAGTGAAGACAAGAGTACAGACAAGGGAGGTCCCAAGCTCCGCTCGCCACATCTCGTCCCTCTCCCGTGGTGATGGCTTAACCCCCACCGGTGGCAAGGACGAGGTAGGAGAGGCAAGGGAAGAAATGCTAGCAGTAGAGAAGCTAGCAGAGTGTATAGCGGAAGACTAGCAGTAGAGAAGCTAGCAGAATATTTAGAGGAAGGCTAGCAGTGGAGAAGCTAGTGGAGTGTGTGGCGATAGGTTAGCAGAAGGGAAGCTAGCAGAAGAATAAGGAGAGACTAGCAGTGGAGAAGCTACCAGAGTGTATAGTAATAGGCTAGCAGTGGAGAGGCTAGCAGAGTGCACGGTGGGAAGCTATCAGAGTATGTAGTGGTAGGCCAGCAGTGGAGCGAGCGAAGCGAGCGGAGTGTGACAGGCAGGCTAGCAGTGGAGAGGCTAGGAGAGTGAGAGCGAGGACAGGCAAGCAGTGGAGAGGATAGTGTGAGAGAGGACAGGCTAGCAGTGGAGAGGCTAGGAGAGTGAGAGAACAGGCTAGCAGTGGAGAGGCTAGGAGGGTGAGGGAGAGGACAGGCTATCAGTGGAGAGGCTAGGAGAGAGAGAACAGGCTAGCAGTGGAGAGGGCAGCAGAGTGTATGGTGGGAAGCTACCAGAGTGTGTAGCGATAGGCTAGCAGAGGGAGGAAGAGAGAGAGAGAGCGGAGTGAGCGAAGCGTGGCAGGCGAGCAGCGCAGGCGGGAGAGTTGCGACGGTGTTATGTGGTGTTGAACGCGAGGAGTTCTTTTGAATAAAAGTGACACAGGAGAAAAAGAAAGGTGTCCACGTGAAATAAAAACACTACACTAGTAGTAGGAGGCACTCTCATTTATTCCAGCCATCACAGGCACAGGGGATAACTATATACTTGGTCAGGACAGCCGGCAGACTTCCTGACCAACAACACCGAGGAGGTGAAGACGTAGCACAACGAGTTCCATTCCAGACGACAGCCCTGACCCAGCGTTGGGACCTCCCTTTTATCTCCCCAGCGTGGCCTGGTTCCGCCCTCGGCCACGCCCCCTTCTGGAACCTACCAGAAGGTTCTGGGCTTCACCTCACGTGTCCCCTCTATCACATTTACCCTACATCCCTTACCTCGGCTTATCACGTGACCTGCTAGCCGACCGGGCTGCTACGTCCTCAAATGCCCCTTCTCTGCCAGTAACCAGCGCTACGCGCCTTAGTGACCCATTCTATGTCACTACACATGTGCAGTGGCTAACTCGCAGACACTAAGAGTTGGAGGCACTTCTTTATTAATGTAGTGACATAGAATTGGTCACGTAGCAGCATAGTGCTGGCTGCTGGCAGGGAAGGGGATCTGCAGCTGCAGCAGCCCTGACTGACAGCAGGGCATGTGATAGAGGAAAGGTTACAGAAGGGGCACATCGAGAACCCGCTAGTGGGTTCCAGAAGGGGGGCGTGGCTGGGGTGGAGCCAGGCCATGCTGACAGTATCAGAGGGCCATGGGAGGGGACCTCGGGGCTGTCGTTTGGAGTGGGATCCCCATCGTTGTTGTTGAAGATTGTCGCCATCGTTGCTGTCGTCTCGTCGCCTTCGTCGCTGTCATCTTCACCTGATATTATGCTGCTAGACGGTAGTTGGCTGTCTCAGTTCAGCACCGTCAGTATCAGACGGCTAGTGTTGTGAATAGGCTAGCAACTTACGTCGAATTTGAGTATAAGCGAGAGAGAGAGAAGAATGTGTATCAGCGTAAGGTGTGTATTGTGCAGAGGGTGCTCGATTTAATCAAATAACTGCCTCCAAGAACTTGCATCTCCAAGTAAGTCACTACATTAACAAGCAACATTTTAGCACTTTTATAATAAGTCCGTCTATGGTCAGCGACGTTAGTCAGGACAGTTGGTAAGCTGCGTGACTGGTGACGCCCCGAGATGGTGAAGACGGAAACGACGACAAGAAGGATGAAGGACGGGAAGAAGGGAGAAAACTTCAGCAGCACGACGGGGATCCCACTCCATACGACAATCCCTAGGTCCCCTCCAGGGGCCCTTCTTATACTGTCAGCATGGCGTGGCTCTGCCCCGGCCACGCCCCCTTTCTAGAATCTACCAGCGGGTTGCTGGTGCGCCCCTTCTGTGACCTTTCCCATAGATTCCCCCCTCTGGTATATAACCTGGCCTGCTGACGTCAGGGCTGCCAAAGCCGCAGATCCCCTTCCCTGCCAGCAGCCACCGCTATGCTGCTACAATACTATGAATCTATACCACTACACGTGTAATGAGAGGGTGACACCTGCTGGCCTGGAAGGGGAATCACGGGTACAGTTAAGAAACAACCAATCAGAGAAGGTGTATCTTGGGCAAAGCTAAAAAGCTAAAAGGTGGGGTTAGCTGAGAAACTCCTGGAACCTACTTGAAGGTTCCACGAGAGCGCGTGGCCGGAGGCGGGGCCTAGCCATGTCTGGGGGGATATAAGGGGGAGTGGACCCAGGGCTCGAGGCTCGTGTGTGGGGTCTTGGGTCCTGGCTGCGTCGCTGTTCGCTGACATCTCTCTCCGTCATCCCGCCGCGTGGAAGATCTCCTGCCTGGTTTTCATCATTGTCATCGTCATGCCGCCAGTCAGCTGCGTAGCCGAGTGAGGGTGATGGGACCACGCCGAGTGATCAGCTATGTGTAGCCAGTAGAGACATTAATACCTAGTGTTGTACTCAGTGTGAGGAAGAATAAGTGTTGGCCTGTGTTGTGCCCAGTGTGAGTAATAATGAAGAACTACCCTCTACACGACGTGTCGCGGAAGTCGCTCATTACACATGTATATACGCGTGTGCGTGTGTGCACGTAGGGTGGAGACTTCACCCAGAATAATGGCATGGTGGCTTGTCCATCTATGGCAGGACGTTCCGCAATGAGAACTTCATACTCAAGCACACAGGGCGCGGGAAGCATCATGCGCTAACACACACCAACTTACATGCGCTAATCACGGTAACACACACCCTCGTATGCACAAATACGCGCGTGCTACTGAACACATTGACACACTTCGTTAAACACGTCGGCTTTCGTGACCAATATTCATAATTAAGGTTTTTGGGTTAGATCGCGTAAGTATAAATGTGTCGTTACCCTCCACCACCCGACACACCCAATTAGTAAGGGATTTGCCACGTAAACAAACGTCAATTACCTATTTTCCCGCATATAGCCCGCATACCCATATAACCCGCAGACGCATATACCCCGCAAAACAGCCTTTTATGTAAAACAAATTTCAGATAGCCCGCACCTCCAAATACCCCGCATGCATTCATATCTTTAACGTCGTTACCGCAGCTTAATTCCATCATATTAATACGAAGTTTACATTTGTAATACATTCCACTATCAATTGTTAACATTAATTGTTAACATTAAAATCCCGTCGCCGGTAAACAAAAGCGCACCCACTTCAAACATTGTCGTTTCATTGTACAAACAATTCGAATAATTTAAAACGTGATAACGTGCAATTTTAGTGTGAGTGGTTTATTCAGCAGTGCTTTAGTCAAAGATAAGTGGATAGACCTACCATGAAAACATTAAACGAGTTATGACATGTCACACGTGTAAAATATTTTTGGGATAGCCCGCACCTCCATATACCCCGCAGGGTCTTGATTTGTTTGTGAAAACTGGTATACCCCGCGGGTTATATGCGGGAAAATACGGTACATCTAGCATCATCAATGCTGCTGGACGTAATTACCAGTGCAACGTCGTACTCGAATTGTAAATGTTGTGGATTTACTCTCCAACACACCGGTGGGCTGAAGTAGTAACTAATTGGCGTTTGTTTACGTGACATCCTTTACTAATTGGCTGTGGCGGATGGTGCAGGATTATGACACATTTATACTTACGCGATCTAACCTAAAAAACCTTTATGAACATTCACACACACTAAAATACAGCATACGTGTGTGTCTAGAATGTTGTGTGTGTATATATTTAATTCTGTCTGTGCATGTAGGGAGCGATAGTGCAGTGGTTAGCGCACTGTACTACAAATCTCGAGTTCGATTCCCGCTCATGGCCAACATCAGTGGTAGCGAATATGTGAACATTGCAGGGCATCCTCTAAGTCGACTAAGCCTTCAATGAGGGCCTGATGCAGTGTGCAAATATAAGCATTGGGGAGAGCAAAATTGGCTCGGTTTGGTACTAGCGACCGACCCCCTGATGTGCCGTGCTAGCGTTTATAGGTGCTCGCTGCCTTGCTTCAGCAGCCTGTTAGAGGCTCTATGGGGTATCTTTGTCTTTATGTCTCTAACGCTCCTGGTGTGTGTGTGCATGCAGGTATACTGTCAATGGCAAACGCTGGGAAAAACACAAATGTATCCCAGTTCTTTAACTGCACGGACCTTACAAAATGGTGAGAGTGCATATATGTGTGATCGCGTGTACCTAACTCGTGAAGTGGGGAGTGGTAGTGTAGCGATTAGCGCACTGCACTACGAACTCGGCAGCCTGTGTTCGATTCCTGCTCACGGCCAACACCAGTGCGATTATTTGAACCGGTCCTGAGCCTCCCCTAGGTCGACTCAGCCTCAATGAGTACCTCCTGCGATTTGTAAACATCGCCACTAGTTAGACAAAGGCAGCCGTGAGTGGTGCTGGCCACGTACCCCCTCGTGTGCTGTGCCGGCTTTCATAGGTGCTCGCTAAAAGCACTTGCCCCAACAGTCTGTTACAGGCTATATAATGAGTCTATACAGATTTTTTAAAATGAAAGATAAACTTAAAATGTACTTGTTAAAAGTTGTTATTATAAAATACATCTGTAGGCAAATGCTGTCAGCCAGTGTTTTTGGTTTCAGCTGACTCTCATGCGGATGAATGGCGATGAACTTGCCCTAATCTACACCCAACCGCAAGTATTAAAAACATTTTTGGGCCAGATCTGTAATCGACTGGTTTTGTGGATCACCCGCATGTACTTGCACATACATGATCTGATGCAGTAAGCTATTTCAGTCCATTAAAAAAAGACTGCACAAAAAGCCCCATTATATTACTTTTCTTCTGTACTTTGGATAAATACCACCTCTCATATGAACCTTGTGGCGGTACCCCAGGGTACCATAGTACCCCAGCTCTCGCATATTGTCCGTGATGCAGTAATTTTTAGTTTGTTGGTCGGCGATGCGGAAATTGACTCATCTAGACGAGCTGTACACGATGCACTATGGTGCATACGAGCGTTCAGGGTTTCAGCGCAACCGTCCTCGCTTCGTTTCGACATCGCGGAGTAGCACCAATTTCGGATTGATTGGTACCCCAGTTGCGGAGTTAAGTACACTCCTGGAAAAAATAGTGTCCCTGAAATAAAATATTTAATTTCCCCGGCCATTTTGTATTATTTGGTACCTCGGGGTACCGCCATGAGGATCATTTATCAGTTTGACTGTCGAGCGACAATTCTTAAATGTGCCCTCTGCTGTGTGCATATAAGAGCTTGAAAATTGCCAACCCTAATGGGGACTGCATGGAAAGATATTCAGCAATAATACATAAAATTCCAATGCGAGGTTCACAATATTTGAGGATATGTAATGAGAAATACAAGAGGCTTTACTTAATATACCACTCAAGACAAATTTCTTGAGACTTAGTTTTCCCCAATTCTGGTATTGCGAGACGATCTTCCCATGATGTGTGCCGATTTTCTTCTACATCAGGAAGCGGAAACCTTATTGGGGACACACATAGGCCAGGATTAGCTTGATCTCATTATGGATGATGATGGGCTCGGGATGCAAGTTGTCCGGGAGACGGTGGGCCGCCGTCATTTCCCAGGCATCCAAGATAACCACGGGCAACCCCGCCATGAGACGGCGCATGATCTGGTCGAGCTGACGGGTGAGCCAATCGGACTGGTCGGGCGAGTGGTAGCTGGTGTTGGCCGACTTGAAGATGACCAGCGTGCCGGGGGCTCGCTTCAGCAAGCGGATGACCGCGGCACGAATGCCGCGCATGCGAGCGACGTAGAAAGACACGGGGAACCCCGTGAAGTGAGCCCATAAGCTGATCCCCACCACCGTGTCCTTTCCACCTGGGTTGTAGGACACAGACACGGACACGAGGACGTGAGAATGCGGACATACACACAGCAACGCAGACAGAAGGGATTTTCCCAGATGTTTGTGTTCTTAGTGGAGTGGCTGTTGTTGCACTTTTAATTGAAGCGCGAGGTTGGCTGATGAGCCTAAAAAACCTCCAAATTTCTGGAATTTGCCAGCTTGTCGGCCACTGCGTTAAAATGTCACTGCATAGTTAGCATAGGTCACGGTGGTTTTGCCAATCTCGTACGGTTAAGTAACGACAGCCACTTTGCAGTTCGGTTTTTCAGCTCTGCTCGAATTTATAGCGCAACCAAATGCTATTTGTAGGCGTTGTGACTTCATTACATTTTTACATTCAGAACATGCTGCTGCGGGGTAATGTACTAATAAATTCGCTAATTATAAACTGTTCAGTTTTTCTATTGGCTGTTGTAAATGCCAGTACTTATTCTCACAGGAAGACAGACTCGCATGGACAAGCACACTGACGGGGACACACATGGGTAGAAGCTCGACAATGACGGCGGTGGAGGCATGAGAGCCACCGGCTGGATCGGCTCAGATGTGCAGTGGAAAAAGGGCATAAAATGCCACGTCTAGTTATGAGAGAGTGAGGAGCACGGGGGCTGTTTCAGAGGGGTCTCCTGACCGAGGAGGGTGATAGGCATAGGTAAAGGGCTTCTGACCAGTTAGGCCGTCGATCTCGTTGGCCACGTAGTGAATCGCGGCCACGGGCCCGTGCTGTGTGAGGAAGGGGAGGCCCTGCGTGCGGTAGAGCAGGAACGTTTTGGTGGCCACGCTCGCCGACATGAGTGGGCCCAGCAGCGTGGGCGCGTTGATGTCGATGAACTGCATGCCTGAGAGAGGCAGGCGTGTCATATTTATTTTGCACAGCGCCGTTCACAGAAAACACGTACAATTAAAAACAATAGAACACCACACAATATCACTACTTTCACAAGACAATAAAATAAAGGCCAGTGAATAAAAAGTAGTTTTAATTGAGATTGAAAAATACAAAGGATAGCCTAAGATAATTCCACTGTCGTGTAGTGGAGGAAAAAATGGTCCGTCACCCTTGCAGAGAGCCAAACCACTCAGGGCCTTGTACGTTAGAAACATAATCTGTGGGACACTCGAGGACACCAAGCGATGGCAGATATAAAGCCACCCATCGATACAAACTGCTTTTTATTGTAGCAGAAAGATTTAAACCAGCCAAGAACAATTTCCTGAAATACATCCATGGTTCTTCAGGCCATCTCAAAGAACGTCATAGTTAACAGCATCAAAATCAGTGCCGAGGTTCAAAAGACCAAAAATAGATAATGAACAAAATCAGCAGCCATCAATAAATCATGAACAACCGTGCTGTACAGTAATCTGAAGCCTACTTTGTAGAGGGTTAAATGACCGCATTCGTCTCTGGATGGTTTCATTGAAATGCTACAATATTCTCCAATACTGTTTCTGGAAAAGCAGATTATAAAGGGGCCAAAATTACACAGCTGGTCAGGGTCCACATTCTGTCTTCATCAATGGTTTGACCATACTCTTTGGTTCTATTCGGTAAAGTCACGTAGGTAAAAAATAAAACAACAAAAGTAACGACGTTTTGGCCACAACACAAGTGGCCTTCATCAGGTGAAGGGACCGGACCGTCCAGAGGACAGCGCTGGAGTGAAGAGAGCCAAGCCCAGGTCGCGTCCTTTAAGCTGTGGGAGGAAACAAAAAACGCCTTGACAAAGGAATTAGCATAAAATGATGTACTACTGTGAAAGTTTGGGATATCACTACTTGAATAAATATACTGTACAACTGAAAATTTGTTTAATGTTTGGTTTGATTTAGAACATCTTTCCAATGATTGCTTAATTTGAAACCATCCTCTCGGTTGAAATTGTCTGTTTGTAAATCTGAATTGCCTCGTGGACAAATCTCTGATAAAAACCCGTGGGTTTTCAGAGAACCTTGGTATCGGAGAAAACTATATCGTGATCACCCACAGCGTTGTAACAGTGATCAGCTACGCAAGAAGAATTCATTCTGCCGTGTTTCAAATCTGATTTGTGCTCGCGAATTCGGTCAGAGACATGTCGTTTCATCTCCCTGATATAGCAGTCACCACAGGTGCAGATCAATTTGTAAACCCCGGGGTACTGTAAGTCAGGAATGACATCCTTCACGGATGGGATCAGGTCACGGATTTTGTGTACTGTATTGAACCGGACCAGGATCGTGTGTTTGTTTAGAATTTTGGAGATCTTTTTAGTAACGCCTGCTATATATGGTAGTGTGATGGTTTTGATCGGAGTATGAAGTGGTTGTTTCTGTATGGAGGGATAAACAGCTTGGCGGATGGTACGGTCAGAGTATGCGATCCTTTTGAGGGCCAGATGTACATGTTTTAATTCACTGGTCAGGTGGTGTTGGTCCGAAATGCAATGAGCCCTGTGGTATAACGTTTTGATGAGAGAATTCCTTTGCGTCGGGTGGTGGTGGGAATCAGGTTTCAAGTAGGAATCTGTGTGGGTGGGTTTCCTGTAGACAGAATGTCCCAAAATGTCCCAATGAGCCATCAGGTCTCCTCTCAAACAGAACATCCAAGAATGGCAGCTTGCCATCTTTCTCCACATTTATCAGAGACTTGTCCACGAGGCAATTCAGATTTACAAACACAGACACAATTTCAACCGAGAGGATGGTTTCAAATTAAGCAATCATTGGAAAGATGTTCTAAATCAAACCAAACATTAAAATAATTTTCAATGGTACAGTATATTTATTAAAGTAGTGGTATCCCAAACTTTCACAGTAGTACATAATTTTATGCTAATTCCTTTGTCAAGGCGTTTTTTGTTTCCTCCCACACAGCTTAAAGGACGCGACCTGGGCTTGGCTGTCTTCACTCTAACGCTGTCCTCTGGACAATCCGGTCCCTTCACCTGGTGAAGGCCACTTGTGTTGTGGCCGAAACGTCGTGATTTTTGTTGTTTTATTTTTACCTACGTGACTTTACCGAATATAACCAAAGAGTATGGATCCTTGCAGTCACGAAAGCTTCAAGTCTAGAAATGGTTTGACCGTCGCAGTTTTAAAAGTGGTGTAAATTCTTAAGCTTAAATGGGCAAACGAGGTAGGAGTATGAAAGGAACATTATCTAAGGAACATGTTGTGGGTATCATCATGGAGTAGCCTGTACAACTTGTTACTGAAACCCGCATAGATTTAGAAGTACCATTTGACAAGGCTGCAGTTGAGATGAAGTGAATGACTCATCCATAGTAATTTTGTAAAAACAAATCAGGTGTGTCATTATGGTACTCCGCTGATGTTACAGTGACTTAATTCCAATACTCTTTAATGCAACGTTAGTGTGGCGATCGTCGTGTTTGACCATTGCAGAAAAAGTATTTTTATTGAAGCTTCAAACTTGTGAGATAGCACGGCGTATAGCCTAGTTGGGCGTCTACTAGAGAAGAGCAGTCTGTTCTTGATTTGTTACATACCACGACACCTTATGCATATCTCCTGTAACGATGGTTCATAACTAAACAAGGGTCCTCACGCCTGTGCTTGACGTCACGAGGACACGGATACGAGCCAGTGAGGAAGTCTGGGGCTGTCGACCAATCATGGGAGGAGACAGTGGCGGGGAGGGAGCAATCAGGAAGCCCAAGCTGCCCAGCTGTTTGCATGTTCACCACAATTACGTGTGGTTAATGCAGACAGGATTCCTTGAATAAGGATTCTGTTTGGTGTTTAACATCTTGACACCTGTTTTATTTCCAGAAAGTTGAAAACCTATTGTTATATTTTAATACTGGTGTAGTGAGTTCGAATTAGGTGCACACACGACTCCTTGGGAGGCAACGCTGATTTATTAGAACGGTAAGTAATATAACACTGCACATAAGGTGGTGACCACCAACCTACTCTAGCTAACACATACTTCTCAAATACTCTAGCGTGACCCAGCCAGGTGGCTACTGCCAGGTCCGCTGACTGGAGGCTTGACTCTTCTTGGCGTCTTCACGATGCATCTTCGTTCTTGATACAGGCAGCCTCGAACCTCGTGAGGAGGCTGCTTATATGGGCCTCGGCGTGCCCGGGCCCCACCCCGGCCACGCCTCCCTTCGAGAACCCTCTCGAAGCCCCCCTGCTGTCCACGTGCCCTCCGAGGTGCCCCCTAGGCCCCCAGTCACGTGTCCAGCCGGGGTCACAGAGAGTGCCACGGCCTCACACCACCCTCGTGGCCTCCCGGAGCCCAGAACCGGCCCTGACGTCATTCCCGCCTCCAGCCGGGATGACGTCATGCGGGTGTGTAGACCCGCGTGGTCATGACGCTCCCCCGCATAGTGACGTCACGCTTGTGCGTGTGTACACAGTAGTGATTCTACAATCACTACACTGGCAAGAAAGGTCCCATATTGTAACTGCTCAACCTGAGCAATAAATGCCCTGATAGTGCATTGTCTTTGTGCTGTTTGTCTTTTGGTGTTCTCTGGTCTAACACTTTTGAGACTAGGCTCAAAAGAAAGCTGTCTCTGGTGTGGACCAATCAGTTTCAAAGACTGCATATATTATCAGCATGTTTTTTTGTTTGCATGTTCACTACAAGTACGTGTGGTTAATGCAGACAGGATTCTTTGAATAAGGATTCTGCTTGGTGTTTTAACATCTTGACACCTGTTTTATTGCCAGAAAGGGTAAAACCTATTATATTATGCAGGTAAGGAGTTTTTGCTGGAATACCCACGTGTGTGGCACGTGATCAGTGCTATACAATTGGTGTGTTCTCACTCCTCAGGTGCCTTCTCATAATAAGGCTTTGTTAGCTGTATTAGCTTAGTTGTCGTGAGGCTATGTCGCGTGTGTGACCATTTCACTGCAGTATTTAATGTTAGGAGGCCGAGGCGCAGGCCACATGTGCGGACTGTATAACAGCAGTATTTAATATTTGGATATTGATATGCACGTCCGGGGTGGGTGCGAGTGCAAGCCGCATGAGAAGAGTAGAGATGCTGGGTAAGCATGATTGCTACTGTTGCCAGAAGTTAGTGACACCAGCAGCCTCCACCAAGGGGCGGCATGGGAAGAGAGATCCAGGATAACGTCATGGAGTATCGATACTTTATAAGGAGGTTCCTGCTAGATTTAAATCTTTTTACAATTCCATTAATGAGCATGTGGCATTTGACATCAGAGTGGATCCCTGTCTTGTCTCCCACTCATCGTTTCCACTGGCCTTGTGTAGCCGTCCCACCCTGTCCCTCTCCTCCCATGAATCGTGACAAAGAGGACAGGTGGGCTAAATAGAAAACAAAAATAAAGCTCGGAGACGATGAGTAGATACTCTACGTTGTGTTCTGTCCTCCAGAGAAGTGAGTCACTCTACAACAGCTGAGCACCAGAGGTTTGTGAAACGGTAAAGATTTATTTCAAAGTGTTCTTTCGAGGAGCGTGTGGATGCCTGAAATAATGACCAGACACATTCATCACTCTCCACGTCACACAATATCTCAGCTCAGTCACTCAGCACAGAGTCCATCCCAAATCTAAATTGGGGATGTGCCCTGTGTTCCGAATAGTCTAGACACTGCTGGACGTGGCCTGCTGAGCATGTGAGGCTTTGGGTCCTATCTCTGTTCATCATTGCCTTCAATTATAATTTAAAAAACGCACGAGGCGCTCCGTAGTAATCACAGCAACACGCAGCAGAGTATAGAATCATACGTGTGTAAAGACTCGAACGATAAACTACTAGGAGCCACTTTTTATTCATACAGAACAATCTAGGTCCGGGCTTCGTTGTTGATATTGAAGCTGTACTTTTCCTTGAACGTCCCCTCTCCTTGTTCTCTGCCCTTTTATATCTTTCCAGTCCCCTTTCTTGAATGTTCCCTCACTGTTTTTTTCCCTTAGCCAATCCCTATCCTCCTCTAACAGATCCAAAATGTTGCCTCTGGGTTCCACTCTGTTTCCCGCTTATTCTCATTCAAACCAATTCTTTCAATCACTTCAAAAGCCACCCTCCCGAATTTTGACTTTAAACTTTCGTGACTGCAGAAATTCATGTTCTTGTTTTATTCAGTAAAGTCACGTAGATAGAAAATAAAAATAAAACAAACTAAAAATAAAAAGGTAAAATTAATAAAAATAAATTTAAAATAATAAGAGCAAAAAACAAAAAACCCACAACAAAAATAGTAACATGAAACTTAAAAATTTAAATAATTGAAAATGATAAAAGCAAAAAACTCACGATCTTTTCGAGCGCAACACAAGCGGTCTTCATCAGGCGGAGAGAAAAGAGGCAAGCCTCCGAATGCAACTCCTTATAAGGGTTTCCAACGTGAGTGGGCGGGGGACGAGAGCTGCGCAGGCAGCACGGGCGGGGCAGGCAGTCAGCGAGCGCTAATGCAGGAGCAGAACAAATGGGGGAGTTGGGAGGAGGAGAGCTTATGCAGCTGGTCTATCTTTGAATAACCGTTAGGCTGCACATTGACTTGGGCTTATTTTCGGTCCATATACATGTGATTCATCACAGGTAAGCTCACACCAGCTAGATTTGCTTACCCAAAAACCAGATTTGCGTGCCTTGTGAGGCCATAATATTAATGTTTTGGTCTGGCTCGTACCGAGAGGGCGCTGTGCTGGCTGGGCTTGGATGCGCCAGTGGAAAAGGGGTATTTAAGGCCACCGTTGATATAGATAATAAAAATCACTCTGAGCCGGTGGAGCAATAGATGGTGAGTTCCACCTACCTGGCACGTGAGCGGTGAGGTGCAGAAACCACTGGCGAATGGTGGAGTCCCCGTACATGTAGAACCTCTTGCCGCTCAGGCAATTGGCCAGGTCTTGAAGGGCTGGGAAGGGCCGAGTCTTGCAGGACAGCGACACCCACTCATCGTTGAGGTAGAAGCCACTCGGGGAGGGCACGGGGTGGCCCGGCACACATGGTCCAAGGGCATTTGCTAGGACAGACACGCATGCACAGCCAATATCATATCTACAATAAGTTAAGATAAATTATATCGTAGACAAACGTATGACAAACTTACGGAATTGCTACGATCTTACCATGATACCATCATTTACTTTTACATCCAATCTGTTTTCTTTTTCAATATTTATGGTCGTGTTAAAGTCATAGTCTGCTGAATTTATGAGATTCTCTTCAGAGCATTTTTTATACTCTGGCCCTTCTAAACAGGTGTGGCCACACACGTGATCGGCGTAGCTCAGGTTGTGCGAGATGTGAAGTGTGAGTGCTCAGCACTCACTGAGGTTTTGCGATGATGAGGACGGCTGCACCTCAATCTGGCTTGGATCTCCGCTGATTCTCACCTTGGATACGTTGCTGCATTACCCAGGACCAACGCACAGAATAATGGGTGAGGAATGGACCACACAAAAGGGAAGCCACATCAGCAGGTACCATGTAAGCAAATAAATCACTGTGTAGTGAAGATTCGTCTTGTCTGTAAATTATGAAGCCCATCACAGCAGGAGAACACAAACTAGTAGAACACACTATGCACTCAGGATAGGGCTCGTCAGTAATGCAAACTCATTCTCTTCTCTACTATTGCTCTGAAGTCACCCAACAGTAATCATTATTTTGATCCTACAACCATCACATGAATATGTAGGTGACGATTGTCAAACAGGGGGGAGATCTCAGCTCTTACTTGCTGAAGAACCGATTCTCCTGCTTTGTGAGAATGTTTCTGTGTCCTCCGAGTGAGTGAAATCGCAGAGAGTCGCAGGGCAATGTCCTGGGCTTCTTGCAGAACCACATGTGTCCCGTAGCCACGTCCCTGTACTTGCATATCCTGGGCTTTATCATTAAGCGTGGCACCGCGTTGCACTCGGTGGCCTCGCTTCTCGCTCCTTCCTTCTCGAAGTAGCCGGTAAAGAAAATCTTGTTGGGCACCGAGTCGCGCAGGCGGCTGATGATTTGCACGGCCTCGCTCGAGTGAACCAGCTTGATATCCACGAGGGCCTCGCCAGGCCACGGCAGAACGACGCTCGCCGTGTACGAGCCGTTGTTGTGGTCTAGCACCGAGCCGAATGCTCCCGCCCGGAGCGTGTCTGAGTAGACTTTGATGCGAAAGTAGTCTCCGCCGTGCCGCTTGTCCCTGCCATGGTGGTCCCTGGCCTGCACGCCAAGGTACAGCGTGTCACCCACCGTGAAGTTGCGTGTCCCACCCAGCAGCCGGTAGCTCGTGGCCGCGGGGCTGGTGGACGACTCAAAGTCGAACGAGGACGTGGCAGGCAGGCTTGGCCACCATAGGAGTTGTCGCAGGTCGTCCATCTCAAGGTCGTGTGGCTCTGAGGTGGAGCTTCGGAGGCTTGGTTCAGGTATCGCATGGCGGGGTGGTTTATGTGAGGGAGTGAGGATGAGGGACACCTGGGGAGGTGCAAAGAGGAAGTTTAGACGTAGGATCACGTAGCCCAGAGGGGCAGGATGTCGGTGTCAACATTTGCTTTGGGGATGGCGACACGTTTACGGAAACCTGCAATACACCACATCCTAAAGACAATTCAATGTGGCAGGGGTGAAATAACCATCTCAATTATTCACCATCAGGGCTTACGGTGACGTCATGACCGAGTGAGCAGCGCTCAAACGGACGTCCCTGACCCTTTCGTTGATATCAACTCAGCATACTGTGTTTCGATGATTGTCATATTAGTCTGTGGATTGATTTTACTATTTCGACTCATTCCTAAGGGGAGTTCCCGGTTCATGGACATTCTTACTCGTACGTGGCTAAATTTGGCCTCAGGCCTATCCTAACCAACTGAAGCTTCTGCCTGTGGCTTGTCTACCCCATACTCCACGTGTTTAATGGCAAAACGAGCCCCAGGCAAGAAGTCTGAGGCCTCCTCTCCACTTTTAAGAAGAGACCAGGAACCCCTCCTGGAGATGATGGTCTTGCCGAAGCTCAAACACCAGGAACATATTTCCTTCTGTGTAATGAATCACATATGCGTTCTTTAAAAAAGAACATGTTTCGTGCAACTTTTAAACTAGCAAAACACGTGGTGATACCAGATTATTTTGCAGTGAAATGTCGTACTGTACGCGCGTATCGAGTACCACAGAAAATCCCTTTCCTGTCCAGCTGTTAGTTGTGAATGTAGACTGACACACACACATGGACTTACACACACATGGACTTACATACACACACACACATCGACGTACACACACACAAACAAATCGACTTACACAACAGCTCCGCTCGTTGTTGTGAGCATTGCTCCTGGGCTCTCCATTGTTGTTGGAGGGCGACTCCCTCTAACTGCCCAGTAGCGTCCTTCACGAGCCACCTCCACAGAGGCCGATCTTGACACTGCTGGTACCAGTCATCGACAAGTCCACTCAGCTCCACATCCTCCTGTACCACATTACTCAATCTCTTCTCTAGCCCGTGCCGCGCCCGTTTAGCCCCCTCCTAGCCGAACAAATGCTGTTTAGGCAGGCGGTGGCTGGATATGCAGGCTACATGACCCAGCCAACGCAGCCTTGCCTGCCGGAGGAGCTCACCGATGTGACTTTGTCCAGATCTTTCAAGGATTTGTGAGCTCCTCACAAAATCCAGCCTGGTTAAACCCAGGATGGATCGTAGGCAGGCCAGCCTAAATGTTTCTAACCGGCGAAGATGTTCCATTAGGAGGGTCCACGTTTCGCGAGCATAGAGAAGGGAGGGAATGACCATGGCCGAGGAGCAAGAGAACAGGTAGCTTACACACAGGGTTACGCAACCGATGAAAAGAAAATGCCACTCGACTGATTCGGAGTGAGACATCTGCTGTTAAACCGGAGCCGGTCATGAGCACACTGCCCAGGTATGCGAAACTCTCCCCTCTCTCCACAACTGGCCCATCACCAATTGTGAATTGTGGAGGTGGATTGTCCGATGGTACAAAATACCCAGGCAGGTGCTTAGTTTTGGTGGGGCTGATGGTAAGGCCCCACCTCTTAGTCGCAAGCTCCAGGTTCAGCAGCAGCGCCTCCGACTCCTCCTCTGAGTGAGCAGCAATCAGCAGATCATCGGCATACATAACATGATTTCGATTTAAAGCTTTTGTGACTGCAGGGATTCATCTTCGTGGTTCTTTCGGTAAAGTCACGTAGAAGGGAAATAATAAAATAAAAAATATAAAATATAATAAAATAAAATTATCACGACATTTCAGCCACAACACAAGCAGCCGTCCTCAGGTGAAGAAACAGAGCTGTCGGAAAGACAGCGCTCCAATGAACATTGAAGTAGCTATGTTAATGTGAGAGATTATCAGGATGTTAAAGTCACAAATTAGCATGTAACTGGGATATTAGCATGATGTTAATGTGAGGAAATAGCATGTAACTGGTCACGGAAGTGGCTATGTTAAAGTCAGAGTTTACATATCAACAGAGGCATTTAGTATATTGACGCTAAAGAACTGCAACTACCCTACTACCATACAATAAACCGACGTGAAAAAAACTAAATATAAACTACATCAATATAATCAATATACTCAATATACTCTCCAATAAGCTGAGCTATTAACAATAAGTCATTATACATGACACTTCTATGTCGCTAAAAATATTATATGCCTCCAACTAATCTTTTTATTTATTTTTGCTTTATTATGAACTGCCATAGACAGACCCCAACATTTAATTATACACTGCGTTACTATACACTACCCTCCCTATACCTTAGACTATCATAATATTAGACTTGTAATATTACACTATGTATTATTCTACCAACCCTACTGTATACCACACTGCTGTATATTCACTATACAATTACGATACTATATATTACCTTATAAATTATATTAAACATTACACTGAAAGGTACTAAGAGATTAGCAAGATGTTAAGGTGAGAAATTAGCATGTAACTGGGAGATTAGCATGATGTTAATGTGAGGAATTAGCATGTAACTGGTTACGGAAGTGGCTATGTTAAAGTCAGAGTTTACATATCAACAGAGGCATTTAGTATATTAACGCTAAAGAACTGCAACATGTTGTATATATGCCCCTTTTTCCATATTAATATTAACAATATTTTCCGATACATATCGATACATATTTCTATTGTTTTCTTAAAAAAATAATGAATAAAACAACCCCAACCAGCCACAGCAACAGCAAGCCGGGGCTTAGACGGGCCATCAAATTAAATCAATAATAACTCCTGGGGTCAGAGGTCACAGAGCAAGTGCTGAAGCAGGCAGACAAAAACCAGAACTGACTCCAAGGTTAACACTTCCCCACCACAGCCAGACGAAATTAATGAGGAACCTTGAGATGCACGGCGTGTGTAGACCGGATAAAGGCTCAGCCCTGAAGAAGGGCGGGAGAGACACCGCCGGGTGTCTGTGCTAAAGCTAGCAGTTGCACGATAATGGGGCAGAGAGTGGGGGCCAAAGAGTGTGGGGCAGATACTTAGAGAAACAGCGAGCAGGAATAAGGGCGGGAGGAAGAGACTGCCGGGGCTTGGAATGCCAGCATGTCAGCAAAGAACCAGGCAGACTTAAGTTAAAAGGAAAATTCACAATACATAATTTCATACATAACATTGGTGTTAACGCCATTCACCGTGGACTATGCTCCGCTTACACAACTTCGTTGAACATAAACTACATGACTTAAGCGATGTTAAACCCAGCGTCAGAGAGAGAAAGAGATCCCGGCCGGCCGTCTTTGTCTCCCCGCAGCGCGGGGTAGGAGTGTGTATACGCTCGGGAAAACACCTTCCCTTGACACGAGTCAAACACCACAATGGAAAGCTGACACAGACCTTGGGTTACATACCAAATCATAACTGTGGAACGGTGGTGAAATGAAATGTTAACTTAAAACTTTTTAACCATTCCCTTGTGTGTCGGGGACATGATGCAGGGAGGGAAGCTTGCCCTCCCTCTCGCACCGGCAAACAGAGAGGCAGACAGAGAGACGCCTTCGAGACAATTTGTAACGTCTGGTTGTTTTACTTTTTGATGGTTTATGGAAGGAGGAGGACAGCGGAATATGCCGTGGGTGATGCACACAAGGACACACACTGACACACGTACGGACACACACATACGGACAGATCATGACACAGCAAAATCGAAAGAAGCCCCGCCTTATGGGAAGCTCCAAGTGAAGGGATTTTTAGCATAAAAGAGAACGCTACAGCATTGAAACCTCAGTTCGGTCGGCTCACCGGAGCCGGCCCATCGGGGCTCAGTTCGTCGGGAACTCAGCTGAGTTCGCCGGGAGCTCAGCTGAGCCCATCAGCTGAGCTCGCCATCTCATCAGCAAAGAGCTCGTCAGCTCAACTCAGTTCGGCCAGCTCATCGGAGTTCGGTTCGGCTCGGCTGAGCTCAGCTCAGCTCGGCTCATCAGCTTGCCGACAGCTCATCAGCAAAGACCCGCTTGCCAGCTCAACGCATCCCTGCAGGAGATCAACCGTCGCCGACGAGAAGGAGGTCTCTGCCGCCGCCGGAGTGGCGAGGGTCGCTATTTAGCGACGGGGCCGGACAACGACACCACCGTGCACGCTGTGAGCGAGCTGTGGGCACAATCTATCGACCCAGTTCAGCAACTGCAACAGCGTGTCAACTGCTCAACCTACGTCCCCGAACTAAATCAATCATCGGAGAGGAGAATCGACTGATACATATGACGCACACCGCCCCCTCACCACACAACAACCAGGCGTCTGTTTGACGTAAAGAATCAACTCCGAACACTGACTATTCAACACAATTTATATCAGGAACAAAGACAATCCCAAAACGTGAAGCATCTAAACGTGAAGGCATCGCTACAGATCGGGTGATAACAGTCCGTCGTAATTTAATATTGGGCTGTACTCTTAATCGCATTAATTCCCAACAGATCCATCAATACGAATCGATTCTTGACACCTTCTTCCACAGAGCTACGCTCACATGGGGATTGGTGTGTCCAACCAGATCCTTATCAGGCGATCTGGTCCACAATTAATTAAACTTGGTATAAGATAAAGATCTTGGGGGAAAAAGAGCACACCATCGCCTGCCCTCATTCCAAGCCATTTCGGTAGTCATATAATCTTGCCGATGGATCTATTGAGATTTGTGCCTTTGAGAATAATAACTGTTTTTGATTGTTTTTTTCGTATGAATATCACCGTATAATCTTTAAAGTACCTTTCGTTCATAATCGCCGCACGTACTCGCGTACTCTGCAGAATACTCAACTGTTCCGTGACCCAATATGTTAACATCGTGATAAGGGTTGTATATGATCAATAAGGAGTGCGATACTGCGTGAACAATTCAAGTATAATAATTTATTATAAAGTTAAGGTTTTTGTTAGAATAGCTTGCAATCATGTTTTAACGAATCTCTCTCTCACTAACAACA